AGTGTTCTCTAGTGAGTAATTCTGTGGTGCCTAGCCATGTTAGGTGTTCTAGTGGTACACTGTAATACCTAGCCATGCTAGGTGTTCTAGTGGTACACTGTAATACCTAGCCATGCTAGGTGTTCTAGTGGTACACTCTGTAGTGCCTAGCCATGTTAGGTGTTCTAGTGGTACACTGTAATCATTATTTAACTACATGTAAACCACACAACAACCAAACTCTGTAAATTCAACATTGTAATCTTTATAGAGAATAAACTTTGAAAGTGAGGTGTACTTATTTATATTTTGAGACTGTCAAGAACAAAATTTGTCCCCATAGGCCTAAATTATAAATGTATTTTACATAATTCATTTGATAATTGAGTGTTTACATGATGAAGAACTCGAGCTCCTAAAATGAATATTAATAAAAAACTTATGTCCTAAGACAAGTTTTTGAAGGAGATCAGAATTATCAGTGTCAGCACTCTCAGAGCTGACGAGGATGACGCTGTGTCAGCACTCTCAGAGCTGACGAGGTTGACGCTGTCAGCACTCTCAGAGCTGACGAGGATGACGCTGTGGCAGCACTCTCAGAGCTGACGAGGATGACGCGGTGGCAGCACTCTTAGAGCTGACGAGGATGACGCTGTGTCAACACTCTCAGAGCTGACGAGGATGACGCTGTGTCAGCACTCTCAGAGCTGACGAGGATGACGCTGTGTCAGCACTCAGAGCTGACGAGGATGACGCTGTGGCAGCACTCTCAGAGCTGACGAGGATGACGCTGTGTCAGCACTCTCAGAGCTGACGAGGATGACGCTGTGTCAGCAGTCTCAGAGCTGACGAGGATTACGCTGTGGCAGCACTCTCAGAGCTGATGAGTATGACGCTGTGGCAGCACTCTCAGAACTGACGAGGATGACGCTGTGTCAGCACTCTCAGAGCTGACGAGGATGACCTTGTCAGCACTCTCAGAGCTGACGAGGATGACGCTGTGTCAGCACTCAGAGCTGACGAGGATGGCGCTGTGTCAGCACTCAGAGCTGACGAGGATGACGCTGTGTCAGTACTCTCAGGGCTGACGAGGATGATGCTGTGTCAGCACTCTCAGAGCTGACGAGGATGAAAGCTGTGTCAGCACTCTCAGAGCTGACGAGGTACGCTGTTTTCAGCACTCTCAGAGCTGACGAGGATGACGCTGTGTCAGCACTCTCAGAGCTGACGAGGATGACGCTGTGTCAGCACTCTCAGAGCTGACGAGGATGACGCTGTGGCAGCACTCTCAGAGCTGACGAGGATGAAGCTGTTTGGCAGCACTCTCAGAGCTGACGAGGATGACGCTGTGGCAGCAGTCTCAGAGCTGATGAGGATGACGCTGTGGCAGCACTCTCAGAGCTGACGAGGATGAAGCTGTGGCAGCACTCTCAGAGCTGACGAGGATGACGCTGTGGCAGCACTCTCAGAGCTGACGAGGATGACGCTGTGGCAGCACTCTCAGAGCTGACGAGGATGAAGCTGTGGCAGCACTCTCAGAGCTGACGAGGATGACGCTGTGGCAGCACTCTCAGAGTGACGAGGATGAAGCTTGTGGCAGCACTCTCAGAGCTGACGAGGATACGCTGTGTCAGCACTCTCAGAGCTGACGAGGATGGGCCTGTTGGGAGCACTCTCAGAGCTGCGAGGGTGACGCTGTGGCAGCACTCTCAGAGCTGACGAGGATGACGCTGTGTCAGCACTCTGAGCTGACGAGGATGACGCTGTGGCAGCAGTCTCAGAGCTGACGAGGATGACGCTGTGGCAGCACTCTCAGAGCTTGACGAGGTTGAGCTGTGGCAGCATCTCAGAGCTGACGAGGATGACGCGTGTGGCACACTCTCAGAGCTGACGAGGATGACGCTGTGGCAGCAGTCTCAGAGCTGACGAGGATGACGCTGTGGCAGCACTCTCAGAGCTGACGAGGATGACGCTGTGGCAGCAGTCTCAGAGCTGACGAGGATGACGCTGTGTCAGCACTCTCAGAGCTGACGAGGATGACGCTGTGGCAGCACTCTCAGAGCTGACGAGGATGACGCCCGTGGCAGCACTCTCAGAGTGACGAGGGATGACGCTGTGGCAGCACTCTCAGAGCTGACGAGGATGACGCTGTGGCAGCAGTCTCAGAGCTGACGAGTGGCAGCACTCTCAGAGCTGACGAGGATGACGCTGTGGCAGCACTCTCAGATCTGACGAGGATGACGCTGTGGCAGCACTCTCAGAAGCTGACGAGGATGACGCTGTGGCAGCACTCTCAGAGGCTGACGAGGAGACGCTGTTCAGCACTCTCAGAGCTGAAAGACGATGACGCTGTGGCAGCACTCTCAGAGCTGACGAGAATGACGCCCGTGGCGCACTCTCAAAAGCTGATGAGGGTGACGCTGTGGCAGCACTCTCAGAGCTGACGAGGATGACGCTGTGGCAGCAGTCTCAGAGCTGACGAGGATGACGCTGTGGCAGCACTCTCAGAGCTGACGAGGATGACGCTGTGGCAGCACTCTCAGAGCTGACGAGGATGACGCTGTGGCAGCCCGTCCAGAGCTGACGAGGATGACGCTGTGGCAGCACTCTCAGGGGCTGACGAGGTTGACGCTGTGGCAGCAGGTCTCAGAGCTGACAAAGGATGAGCTGGGGTCAGCACTCTCAGAGCTGATGAGGATGACGCCTGTGGCAGCACTCTCAGAGCTGACGAGGATGACGCTGTGGCAGCACTCTCAGAGCTGATGAGGATGACGCGTGGCAGCACTCTCAAGCTGACGAGGTTGACGTGTGGGGAGCACTCTCAGAGCTGACGAGGATGACGCTGTGGCGCACTCTCAGAGCTGACGAGGTTGACGCTGTGGCAGCACTCTCAGAGCTGACGAGGATGACGCTGTGGCAGCACTCTCAGAGTTGACGAGGATGACGCTGTGGCAGCACTCTCAGAGCTGACGAGGATGATGCTGTGGGCAGCATCTCAGAGCTGACGAGGAGACGCTGTGGCAGCACTCTCAGAGCTGACGAGGATGACGCTGTGTCAGCACTCTCAGAGCTGACGAGGATGACGCTGAGTCACCACTCTCAGAGCTGACGAGGATGACGCTGTGGCAGCAGTCTCAGAGCTGACGAGGATGACACTGTGGCAGCACTCTCAGAGCTGACGAGGATGACGCTGTGGCAGCAGTCTCAGAGCTGACGAGGATGACGCTGTGGCAGCAGTCTCAGAGCTGACGAGGATGACGCTGTGGCAGCAGTCTCAGAGCTGACGAGGATGACGCTGTCAGCACTCTCAGAGCTGACGAGGATGACGCTGTGGCAGCACTCTCAGAGCTGACGAGGATGACGCTGTGGCAGCACTCTCAGAGCTGACGAGGATGACGCTGTGGCAGCACTCTCAGAGCTGACGAGGATGACGCTGTGTCAGCACTCTCAGAGCTGACCGAGGATGACCCCTGTGTCAGCACTCTCCGAGCTGACGAGGATGATGCTGTGGCAGCACTCTCAGAGCTGACGAGGATGACGCTGTGTCAGCACTTCAGAGCTGACGAGGATGACGCTGTGTCACCACTCTCGAGCTGAAAGAGGATGACGCTGTGGCAGCACTCTCAGAAACTGCGAGGATGACGCTGTGGGCCCGCAATCTCAAGCTGACGAGGATGACGCGTGTCAGCACTCTCAGAGCTGACGAGGATGACGCTGTGTCAGCACTCTCAGAGCTGACGAGGATGACGCTGTGGCAGCACTCCCCAGACTGACGAGGATGACGCTGTGGCAGCACTCTCAGAGCTGACGAGGATGACGCTGTGGCAGCAGTCTCAGAGCTGACGAGGATGACGCTGTGGCAGCACTCTCAGAGCTGACGAGGATGACGCTGTGTCAGCACTCTCAGAGCTGACGAGGATGACGCTGTGGCAGCACTCTCAGAGCTGACGAGGATGACGCTGTGTCAGCACTCTCAGAGCTGACGAGGATGACGCTGTGGCAGCACTCTCAGAGCTGACGAGGATGACGCTGTGGCAGCACTCTCAGAGCTGACGAGGATGACGCTGTGGCAGCACTCTCAGAGCTGACGAGGATGACGCTGTGGCAGCACTCTCAGAGCTGACGAGGGTGACGCTGTGGCAGCACTCTCAGAGCTGACGAGGATGACGCTGTGGCAGCACTCTCAGAGCTGACGAGGATGACGCTTTTGGCAAGCACTCTCAGAGCTGACGAGGATGACGCTGTGGCAGCACTCTCAAGCTGACGAGGATGACGCTGTGGCAGCACTCTCAGAGCTGACGAGATGACGCTGTGGCAGCACACTCAGAGCTGACGAGGATGCGCTGTGGCAGCACTCTCAGAGCTGGACGAGGATGACGCTGTGGCAGCACTCTCAGGCTGACGAGGATGACGCTGTGGCAGCCTCTCAGAGCTGACGAGGATGACGCTGTGTCTGCACTCTCAAGCTGACGAGGATGACGCTGGGGTCGCACTCTCAGAGCTGACGAGGATGACGCTGTGGCAGCACTCTCAGAGCTGACGAGGATGACGCTGTGGCACACTCTCAGACTGACGAGGATGACGCTGTGGCAGCACTCAGAGCTGACGAGGATGACGCTGTGGCAGCACTCTCAGAGCTGACAGAGAGCTGTGGCAGCACTCTCAGAGCTGACGGGATGACGCTTTGTGGCAGCACTCTCGGAGCTGACGAGGATGACGCTGTGGCTGCACTCTCGAGCTGACGAGGATGACGCTGTGCAGCAGTCTCAGAGCTGACGAGGATGACGCTTTTGGGCAGCACTCTCAGAGCTGACGAGATGACCCCGTGGCAGCAGTCTCAGAGCTGACGAGGATGACGCTGTGGCAGCACTCTCAGAAATGACGAGGATGACGCTGTGGTAGCACACCTCAGAGCTGACAGGATGACGCCTTTTGGCAGCAGTCTCAAGTGACGGGATGACGCTGTGGCCCCCTCTCAGGCTGACGAGGTGACGCTGTCAGCACTCTCAGAGCTGACGAGGATGACGCTGTCAGCACTCTCAGAGCTGACGAGGATGACGCTGTGGCAGCACTCAGAGCTGACGAGGATGACGCTGTGGCAGCACTCAGAGCTGACGAGGATGACGCTGTGGCAGCACTCAGAGCTGACGAGGATGACGCTGTCAGCACTCAGAGCTGACGAGGATGGGCGCTGTGTCAGCCCCTCAGCAGCTGACGAGGATGACGCTGTGTCAGCACTCTCAGAGCTGACGAGGATGACGCTGTGTCAGCACTCAGAGCTACTCTCTTGACCTACTTCTTTATAACTTATATACTCTTCTCTCTCTCCCTTCTGTGTGTGTATAATATATATATATTATATATTAATATTATATATTATATATATATATAATATATTATATATAATATATATAAAATTATATATTTTATTTTATTATATATGTATTATATACAGGGTTTTTACAAAGTTAGGCTAAGGTTTACTAACTTTATTTACAAGCTAAGAACTGCCACCTACATCAGCTTATTTTGGAAAATCAAATGAAAAATGTATGTAAGATGGCGGTGAGAATGGTTATAAATGACGGGAGTTTCCCGGTGACGCGCCTCCTTCACCACAGTAATATATACATGGTAGGGATGACCACCTGTCATGTACACAATGTATACACATACCAGGATGTACACACATGATGTCTAACTTGACGGTGTTCAGGGGGTCAACGCCCCCGCCGCCCAGTCCATCACCAGGCCTCGTGTTGGATCAGGACCTGATCAACCAGGCTGTGCCTGTCCAGGTGCCTGTCCAGCTTCCTCTTGAGGACAGTCAGGGGTCTATTGACAATCTTCCTTATGCCTGGCGGGAGGCATATGATGGATTGTATATATATATATATATATATATATATATATATATATATATATATATATTATATATATATATATATAATATATATTATTTAAATATATATATATAAGAACACTGCGACTAGCCGGGGGAATCGAACCCGTGTTGTTTTAGCTCGTCTAAAACTTAGATTCCTGTTTTAGGTATTATAGTATTTCTGTGTGGTGTTGAAAAGGTTATATGGAGACACAATAACACTCGTGTGGAAAATGTTTCTCTCAGTGGATGATTTGCAGATAGGAATTAATGGAGGTTGTTGCCCGCCAGAGTGACCCGCCTTCAGGAGCGCCACTACACAGGTTACTACTACATAATACCCTGGCATCCTCACCAGTGGCGGACCTACATTTTGGGGGCCCTGAAGCTTGAACTATTATGGGGCCCCTCCGGGATTAAGGGCCCTCAAGCTTAAGCTTCATCATTTTCATAATAGATCCCTCCCTGATATTCTTGAATAAATAATGAGGTTAATACTTTGTTTACCATGTTAGTAATTCCAAGTGTCTCCCATCTTCCCTACCACCCTCATTACTTCTTATTTTACCCTCTCCTTCCCTCCTGCAACCTCTTCTACCTCCTCCCATTCTACCTTGTTTTACACACGGTTTTACAAGGTTAGGTTAAGGTTCCTGACTTTACTTACAACCTACCTACATCGGCTCTTTTTTTTTTTTTTTTTTTTACACAGAGTTTGACAAGGTTAAGGATCCCTAGCTTTATTGGCAAGCTATTTACAGGTTAAGGATTCCTAACTTTATTGGCAAGCTAAGAGCTGATACCTTCATCAGCTCATTTGAAAGCATTTTTATTGTTATGAGACATACAAGTAGGGAACAGGATGAAGTTGGAGCCATCTGTGGGCCAGCCTTTTCATTTGATCAACTGACTTCATCTCGTTGACATCATTATGCTGTACGAATGTGTTCCATACTCGAGTCATCCTGGGTATATATGATCTCAGATGGAGTGATGTTCTGGAGAAGGGTACAGCCAGAGTGAAGTTGATGCTTTCTGCCCGTCTTGTGGCATAAAAGCTTGTTTCACGCTGTCCTCGAAGTGGATCCAAGTGTAGCACTTTGACAATATTGGCCTTGTACATAACAGTAAGGCCACCCACATCCCTCCTGTGTTGAAGGCTCTGCTGAAATGACAGATCTCTCCAGGATGGGTCCAGGCGAGAGATGAGACGTCTTGCTCTGTTCTCTTCTCTGTCAAGCAGTCGCAGATGAGAGGGGGGGGGCAGGCAAACCAAGAAAGTGGAGCATACTCAAGGTGTGAGCGTACTTGTGCCTCGTACAGAATCTTGCAACCCCTACTGTCAAGCAGATGCGAGATACGGCGAAGTGCTGTAAGCTTCCTGGATGCCTTGTTTGCAAGATTTACAACATGGTTCTTCATGGTTAGTTTGGAGTCAAATTTCACCCCAAGGATATCAACTTCTTCTCCAGGTGCCAACACCCTCCCATTCATCCTTACTACTGCACCAGCATTACCATCATGGCGCCTAGAGTTTTTTGTTAGTTAGTTTAATATGTTTATTATGCACCCCATACCCATCCTGTGGGCGGTAGTCAAAAGATTACAGAGGTACATAATTGGTCCAGGGACTGGACTCCAACATCATTTGCGTTTTCTCAGGTGCAAATGTTACTTGCCATCTATTTCCCAAAGCTGATATAGCTCTAAGCTGGTGATTGATGTAGCTTAGAGCAGCTGGCATTTCTTCTCTTGGATAAGTGAATGTCAGTGTACAGTCGTCTGTATATGCATGTGATTCTGGGATGAGATGAAGAAGGTCGTTGAAGTAGACATTCCATAACAATGGTCCCAGCACGCTTCCTCGTGGAACACTTGCCCCAATAGGATGTCTTGCTGATTCCGTTCCATTGAGAACTACACTTAGAGATCTACCATAAAGGTAATCACTGAGGAGACATAGCGTAGAGCCTGCAATTCCCAGTGCTTGAAGTTTTGCTAAGAGGCCCTGGTGCCACACCCGGTCGAAAGCGCCAGCAATGTCCAGTGCTACCACACAGCTGACTTTGGATTCATCCAGTGACTGGTGCCACTTAGTGGAGAGGTTTAACAACAGATCAGCAGCAGAGTAACCTTTCCTGAAGCCATATTGACGATCACAAAGTAGTGAGTGGTAGTCAAAAAAATCTGTCATTTGTCTTGAGATATTTGTCTCAAGGATCTTACCAGTGATTGACAGTAGTGACACTGGTCTGTAGTTGCTGATTTCTGCACTGCTCTTCTTTTTGTGAACAAGGACTACATTTGCCTCTTTCCACAGAGAGGGCCATTTACACTGTACTAGGCAGTGCTGAAAGATGCGAGTTAGAGGTGCTGCTAGCTGGTCTGCACATCTTCTCAGCAATCTTGGGCTCAACTTGTCTGGGCCCACAGCCTTTTCTTGGTCAAGTGATTTAAGAAGGAAATGCACCTCCTCCTGCCTTATTGTCACCACTGACAGTTTTGACACAGTTCTTGCAGCTAGCCAAGGAGGGTCCCTTGCTGGATCAGGAACTTGCCTTTTGGTAGCAAAGTGTTCAGCAAAGAGGTCCGTCTTCTCTTGACTACTAGTAGAGGTGGTCCCATCTTGTCGATTTAGAGGTGGAATGAGTTCATCAAGCAGATAACCTTGTCTGTCTTTGACCAGGGACCACCAGGTTTTGGAGACTACCCTACCTGATGCTAGCTTTCTTTTAGTGTCCAACTCCCATTTAGCAATGGCCCACTTTTGAACGTCACCCATATGCCTACAGGCTTACGTGAGCAAGTTATTGTTATAGGTGGTAGGATGTCTCTTATACCTTCGCCATGCTTTGTACTTAGCAGTAGCAGCCTCTCTACAACGAAAGCCAAACCAAGGCTGATCTGTAGGCTTCGTCACATATTGCCGGTGAGGAATGTGTTCTTGTTGTAGATTAAAGATGTGTCTAGTGAAGGCTTTCACTTGGTTGTCAACATCCCCTTGGAGAAGAGTATTCCAATCGGTGGTGGCGAGCTCAGAGCAAAGGGCTGGCCAGTTACCTCTTTCCCATAGCCAGGTTGTGCGTGTGGACTCCTCACCTCGTTCTGTTGGGATCTTAAGTGTGGTAAAAACAGTCTTGTGGTCAGACGATCCAACGTAGCCGAGGGGTTGACAAGTGACTATGCCTTCTGCCAGATCACTCACTACTGGGTCAAGGGAGGAGCCAGAGATATGAGTAGGGAAATCAACAAAGTTTCTCATGTCAAACACTGCAAGAAGGTCATCAAAGTCCCTCTGTATAAGGTGTTGGTTAAGGTCACCAACAATTATAATATGTTGACAGTTGTGTTGTAGCAGAAGGGAGTCAATATTTTCCATTAGGAAGTTTATGGGGTCTGCATGTTGCCACTGAGGTCTGTACATTGCACATGCTAGTACAGAGGTACTAGTGTTTATACAGAGCTTGAAGAACATCATTTCAAGATGTGTAGGGGTGGCAACATCAATGTGCTGGGCATGAACACTTTTAGAGAAGCACACAGCAACACCACCTCCTTGCCCTTGCCTGTCTCTTCTCATCCATGAGGTGTAGCCAGCAATTCTTGCAAAATTTTCTGAGTCCTGTCATCCAAAAATGTTTCAACAACAGCTATCATGTCGGGACGTCGAGTGTTCACAAAACTATGTGTGAGCTCTCCAACACTAGTAATGAAACCTCTAATGTTGGCCGACAGGATGCTGATAGACTGGCTCCTCATGATGTGGTCAGCTTGAGGTGGTGGGTGTGTAGGGCATGTAAGGTGCCTGCCCTTGAGAGAGGTAGGGTACTGAGGCAGCTGCAGGGATGTAGGTCTGTGGTCTTGTATAAGGCACAATACCACCTGCTGGGCTGGGATAAGAGTAGCTAAGTGGGTGACGTGTGAGAGTGTTCACCAATTCAGAGATCCTGCTGGTTTGTTCTGAGAACAGGTCTCTAAACAGGTGGTCCTGTCTGTCAAGTTCCTTTTTCTTCCGACACTGGTCCTCCTGATGTCCTTGTAGCAGTAATTGCACCTGGTATCTCGCAGGCAGTTGTTGGCGGTGTGCCCCTTCCGGTGACAGCGAGAGCGCAGCCTAGGTGCCTGGGAGGGTGGACTATGATTTGTTGCACCTCCCGTGTTTTGCAGATTTGTCCTCAGGTTCTGCCGCTGAATTGTGTTAGTGGAGGGTGAGACAGCTGTAGATGTCTTCCTTCTCCAGTCCTCTTCCACGTCCTCCCCCTCCCTCTCTCTCTCCCCTCTCTCTCTCTCTACACAGGTTTTATAAAGGGTCCCTAACTTTATTTACAAGCTTTTGAGCGTTACCTACATCCTCTTAAACTTTCTTTTAAGGGTTTTTCCC